TGGAGGAGAAGGGATTGCGGCGTGGCCATCCCCCCTGGGGGGGTGATTTCTCGCTTTCTGTCTCTCTGTCTCTCTCTGTCTGTCTGGCGAGCGCAGGCGCCCTATAGCAAAAACCTCTCAAAAAAAAAAAAAGATGAGGCTATTATTTTTTGAAAGAAACAAAATGCCAAATGTGATCTGGCATTTCTGTCTTCTCTTGAAAATCAACACAATAATAAAATCGTAAAAGCAAAACGTTATTAAAAAAGAATGAAAAGCAATCCAAAACAGGAAAAGGAAAAAATGAAGGATCCTATTACTGAGAACGAGGCACTGCGAAGGTCCCATGAGCTCTAAGCCACACTGTGGCACAGGAAGAAGACAGCAGGAGCAGACAGGATCAGGCCTGGGCCAAGAAGGACGTGAGGAGGCGGTCTGCAGAGGACCCCGGATCAAACGGTTTACCAGGCACACTGGAAGGTTGTGAAGAATGCGGCGAGTAGCTTGGGGTACTATTTTAGTTGTATTCAGTTGTTAGACCCCAGATCTTGGCTCAATCCTGGGCAGTCAGCACCAAAGGCAAAAAGAAATAGGAACGTTCCTGTCACCCAGAGCTCGAGGAGCAAGAGAAATAATAAGATCCCCAAGCGCCTTCTCTGGCCAATTTCAAAATGAGAGCAACAAGATTTCACAAGTTGAAAACAGACGGTCCCTCTTCTGTAGAAACTGAGACTCATCGACAGATTAAAGCAAACCAATCATCGCCAAGTCACAGGTAAGCCTGCAAGTCAACAGTCACCACCCACAACTCCCGGTCAGCTCGTGTGTCTCCTGCAGTACGAACTCAAGCAAGAGGAAAGCTTCAAAGTGAACACGAGACCAAGAGCTGCCAAAATGAGTGCTAAGGGACCAGCAGCTAGCGTAATGACTATGTCGCTGGACTCCCATGTAGTCAACCACGGTTCAAGTCCTGGACCCGGTGGCTTAAACTCACACCGGGCATGTGTGCGTGCGTGCCCAAGATCCTGGGAGAAGAATGGAGAAGGGATTGCGGCGTGGCCATCTGCCCTGGGGGGGGAGGTTGATTTCCTGCTTTCTGTCTCTCTGTCTCTCTCTTTCTGGCGAGCGCACGCACCCTATAGCAAAAACCTCTCCAAAAAAAAAAAAAAGAGTGCTAAAATACACAGGGGCCAAACAGTGGTGCAGCCCTAAAATGCAACACTGTGAGGCAGTCCCACGTGAGAAGGTTCATGGTTCAAGGATGCCAGGCCCGTGCTTGCCCATGACCCTGGGCCTGCTGAAGGCTGCGGGGTAGACTGCAACATGAGAACGCTGCTGGGGATGCTTTCTCTTTCTCTGGTTCATGGAAGAAATACATACATATACATAAGGGGAAAAAAAGTGAAAATGTTTTTAAAAAAACACTCAGGAGATAACTAGGCAAAATAAAAGATTATTTATATATTTTTTTGTAGAGGTTTTTTTTTCCTTAGGGCACTTGTGTTCACTGGAGAGAGACAGACGGAGGGAAAGTGAGAAGTCACCCCCCCAGGGGATGGTCACGCCACAATCCCTTCTCTTCCCTCCTCTTCCCAAGATCTTCAGCACATGTGCACACACATCAGGTATGAGTTTCAAGCCACCAGGTCTGGGACTTGAACCACGATTGGCTATGTGGGAGTCCAGTGATGATACCGCTTTGCCATCTGCTGGCCCCCAGAAAGATTACTTTAACAATATTACAACTAGAAAAATGAGAGTAGGACCCAGAGTGACAGAAACAAATGCTTGTATATTAAAAAAAAAAAAAGTAAGAAAATCCTCTTAAAAATTATACATACAATCACAAAAATAATTTTTACTTTTTATTTTTGCCAGAGGGGGTGGGCTCTGTGCTCACTGGGGAGAGAGAAAGTGAGGAAATATCCCTAGATGGAAGTGGCCAGGCCAGAATCCCTTCTTGATTTCTTTTTTGGGGATTTTGGGCACACATGTACAGGCGCCTGGTGTGTTTTTCAAACCACCACGTCTGGGACTTAAAACTGCACAGCTGGCCACGTGGGTTCGAGTCATCTCAACCACAACACAGGCTGGCCCCCAAATAAAAGCTTGAACAAGACGAATGGAAGAAGGTAAAAGTGGAATGACTCTTCTAGAGAGAAAATGCAGGTACCAGAAGGGAAGAAATGATCAAATAACACGAGAACATTCCCTCAAGGTGGGTTTCCGTAAGAAAGCTAAGGAGTAGTGAAATGGAAGAAAAGCTCTCACACCAACATTATCACTAGGACATTTCACAATGTGGAGACCAAAAGAACATCCCCAAAAGAACATCCTAAAAGATCTGCAATAACATTAGGTCACAAATACTAAACTGGGAGAGGGAATGCCATTGGACGCTGGAAGACCGCAGTTCAAAGACTTTGAAATTTATTTCCCAAGCAAGCATTAAGAGTAGAAAAAACTGTTTTCTGAAATCCAGTCACAAGTGATCTCCTGTTTAGCAAGCAAAAGGAAAGCCTCAAAGCGAACACAAGATCCTTCAGGAAACAAGAGGACATGCTGTCCTAAAGTGAGAGTTAAGTCAAGGCATCGAAGGCCAGGAGGATATTCAGGATGACAAAGGGAAATCCCGAAACGGCAGCTGTGCGGATGTCCAAGAACAAATATCGGAGTCTGAGCCGCCGGGGAGAAGTGTTCCAAGCAGGTAGAGGGGGGATGTCTGGAGGATAAAAAAGTAACAGTGAGACAGTCTAATGGAGTCAAGGCATTTTCCAGGAGAGACCATACGTGTCCCTTCTCATCCTGAGTTTCTAGTTACATTCCTAGTGAGTGCCTTATGCTCCTGTTCTTTCTGCCTGGAAAGCGTGTTCCTCAGAGAACCTGAGGTATTCTCCCTCATCAACTGTAGAATTTTGCTCAAATGTCAGCGTGTCATTGAGGTCTTCTGCCTTCTCAAAATATCAACCTCCTCTCCGGCTTGCCATCATACACATTCCTTCCCAAACCACGATTTCTCTCCTTGGTGCTTATTACCCTGTATTCAACTATGTAGTTTATTTACTGACCATCCCCTCATCATCTGTGTCTACCAAATGGCTGCTCCAAGGCAGTAGAGGATACATAACAGGTAACCCCAAAATACTGGAGTGAGTGTATGCAGATACCCACGGGGCCAGCAGGTGGCGTGGTGGTAAAGGTGCTGGACTCCCACATGGCCGACTGCAGTTGAGTCCTGGACCTGGCAACTTCCTTTCTCTCTGGTTGAACTAAAAAAAAGAAACAAACTAATAAAATTAAATAATTCTTTAAAAAGAAAATAGCCACAAGGCTTAAAAAAATAACTAAAGAATATGAAAATTAAGGAGGCTGTTTAAGGGACAGATGCAAAGTACATGAAAATAAACATCGTATACTACTCGCAGAGAATATTTACATAATTAAAATAATAGAAACACAGTATATAAACTAATCCTAAAATTATGCTGTACCTAATGGAAGGATAACGAAAGTAATGGAGGGTCATTAGGTTACATAGTCTTCCTCAGACATGATACACAGTCACTAGGAGACTTCTAAACTTAGTGACTTGGGAAACTGTAATATATACATTTGGAAATATGAAAGGAACGAATACAACAGGTGAAAGAGATGTATGTCAATAAAGTATACAGAACTGCTGTTAGTTTTGTTGTATGTACTTTAGCTCTCTTTTCAAACTTTTTTTTTAAGGTTTTTGACATAGGGAGTGTGTGCTTGACAGAAAGTGAGGGGGAAAGTGAGAAATTGCCCCCCATGGGCTGATGGCCATGCCACAATCCCTTCTCCTCCGTTCTCTTCCTGGGATATTGGGCACGCACACACATACACGTTACATAACTGGCTAAGTTTCAAGGGGTGGGATTCTGGACTCGAACCACGGTCGGCCATGTGGGAGGCCAGTACCTTAACCACTATGCCATCTGCTAGCCTCTCTTTTAAGCTTTTTATAGTGTTTTAAACTGTATATAAACAGGCACTTCAAAAAGTGTGGAAAAATGGAATTAAAGTACATGTTTATTTTTGGTATGAAAAAATTTTGAAAGCGATGTAGTCTTTCCAAAATATGCGTTTTCCGTGAACTTTTTTTTTTTGCGGGGGGAGAGGTTTTTGCTATAGGGAGCATGCGCTCGCCAGACAGATAAGAGACAGAGAGAAGAAAGCGAGAAATCACCCCCCGGGGGGATGGCCACGTCACAATCCCTTCTCCTTCATTCTCCTCTCGGGATCTTGGGCATGCACGCACACGCGCCCAGCATGAGTTTAAGCCACTGGGTCTGGGACTGGAACCGCGGTCGACTACGTGGGAGTCCAGTGACATAGCCATTATGCTAACTGCTAGTCCCTCCGTGAACTTTTTGAAGACTCTTTGTTTATCATTTGATAAAAATAAAGTAAGACATTTACTTAAAGGGAAATAGTGTCGTTCCAAAATTCTAAGATGGTAGGATTCTTTACCATTTATATCACAGTGGCTAGTAATATTGTAAGCACTGAATAAGTATTTACTGGAGGGATGGGTTTTGATTATATGAATATACAAAAACACATGGAAAATAGTTTCTGGATTTCCCATTAAATCACATAGTGTATGTCATGGGCAAAAGTGAAAGAGCAGCATGTCAATTACTACCAATAGCAGTAAATAAATTTAAAAATCTATAAGGGAAAACACTGTTAATGTTTTAGAAAATATTTATTATAAGAGTTATGCTGTTTTCCTTTATAATAATGAGCTTTAAATAGTACCAAGTGGCCAGCTACTTCCACCTAGTGGCTGCATCTGTACGTACAGCCTGGCTCTGGCAACTGGAAAGAGAGCTGCCACGTTCGAGCCACTACCCACTCGTTTCAGGAGTCTGTTTAAGAGACAGAAGCAAACCACGTGAAAATACTGCCTACTCTTCACTCAGCCAGCCTGTCAGCTCAATTCAGCAGCTGAATTCTGCACAGGAGTATAAATACAGAGGAAAAACGGGCAGTAAAGCTCAAGTATTTTATTAATAATTTATTGTCAGTAAGAAAGACTGGCTAATGGTATTTCTCAGTAAAAACCTTTACAAGACCATTGCATCACAAATATACAGACACTATAAAAACTGTGTCATGATGGTTTTGGTTCTAAACATGTATGCAGAAGGTCCCCATTACACTTTCCAATAATGAAAAATGTTCATAATTCTAAAATACAGCAACCCATTTAAGACATGTCCATGTATCAGATCTTTCCTCATCCTATATACAGCTAGAAATGAATGACTATACTGAAATGTATTAATGAAATGTCATCATTCTGTGGAAAAGAATGAAACCCTGGTTATATTAAAAAAAAAAAAAAAATCAGGGCGCTAGGTAATGACACTAACACCACCCAGATTCAGTTGAAAACAAATGCACAAAATACCTTCCAAATCTAGTTAAAACTATGAAAAATCAAATCTGTACATAAAATTTACAAAACAAAAAAAAGGGGACAGGAAAATTAAAATAATCAAATCTATATAAATACATGAATCATGCTAACAAGAGTAGGGCTGATTTTCGTTTCATTATTTTAACACAGACAAATGTAAATACAAAAGGATGTTCCAAAATGGCACGGCCGATGAAAATCTCATCGCAGTATGGCAGGTCGGGACTCTGGAAATGGCTAAGTGTTAAGAGGCGCGTGATTCAGTGCAGCCATGCCCATCGCAGCTCACCGAACAAAAGCGCTTAAGCACTGCTGCAAAAAACAATGCAGATTATTTATATAACCTCTCGGTTCGTTAAAGTCCAGGCACTTTGGGGGGCGTCTGAGCGTCAGACTTCGGTATGCTGCTGGGAATCCAGAGGCGGAATCGTCACCTCTTCAAAGCGGCCATCGTCTCCGCTCTCATAGTCACTCATCATGACCTCGGACTCCACTTCGCAGCACGCCGACACGTCGGAGCAGGATGCTGTGGACGTGCGCACAGACAGGGGCATGTTTTCTACAGTGGGGGCGTCAAAGTTTCTCTGATACCCTGGAGGGTAAGGGACATAGGGTTCTCTACAGATACCACTCTCATCAGGGCCTTTTCTCTGAGGTTCCGACAAATCGACGGGATAGAAATTGGGCAGATACTGATTCAAGTTGAACCTCTGCCGGTTTCTCGACGAAGAACCCAAGCTCCCCACTGCGGGCATGTCTCTAGGAGGGTGTATGGATTCGAACTGCTCACTAAACTCCGGAGGTAATGGTGGTAGTTCGTCAGGTGCAGGGAAGTCTTCTGGGGGTGGTGGGAAATCACTTTCAATGTCGTAACCTCCAGGGTAATAGTCTGTATCGATGGCATTTGGATCTGCTGAGTACAGGGGTGTTTGCTCATCAATAACCTCATAGTTGGGGAACTCCTGTATATCTGGCAGAGGAACCGTTGGCATCCAATCTGACGTATCCCAGTGATACCCTTGGCAGAAAAGAAAACAAAAGATGTCAGTGTGCTTTCTCCACAGTTAATACGTGCCCTGGAACAAAGTCTGGAAATCCTTTGTCTTTGCTTTGAAGACATTCCTTCACAGCAACCCAGTTTTGAAGACTTCTATGAACTACACTGCATTTCTGAAACATGGACTCAAACAGTTTTAAGTAGGTACCTACATTCAAGGAAATAAAAGACATTCTAATAGAACGGGTACACTAGCATCTAAATTATATGCACTTTTCTGTAAGTAATTCCAATCATCCCTTCAACCTTCCTTCTGAAATTTACTGCTCTACCTGAAGACAATATTATGTCAATTTAAGGACATAAGTAAGTTTTGTCCTTTTAGAAAGGAGGAGTCTCGGGACCAGCAGTTAGCATAATGGCTATGTTGCTGGGCTACCATGTAGTCGACCGAGGTTCAAGTCCCGGTGGCTTAAACTCACGCCGGGCGCATGTGCGAGCATGCCCAAGATCCCGAGAGGAGAATGGAGGAGAAGGGATTGCGGCGTGGCCATCTCCCCGGGGGGTGATTTCTCACTTTCTATCTCTCTGTCTCTCTGTTTCTCTCTCTCTGTCTGGTGAGCGCACGCGCCCTATAGCAAAAACCTCTAAAAAATAAAAGAGTCTCTACTGAGTAAAATATCAAGTGTTGCTTTATCTACATTAAGTGTCATTTAAAAAAAATTAATTTGCCTTTTAAAGATAAGAGTAATCTTGAACATGCTGAGACTTAGAAAATTCACTTTCGTTATAATAATGTAGTAAGCTGAATACTGAAAATACTACTGCCTTTATTGGCCTTACATAAAACAACAAATTGTCTTAATATAGGTTATGTATCAAAGCATGCCTCTAAATTAAGCAAAATATAGACAAGCATTAAAAATATCTACTGCAAGTTTTGACAGACTACAACAATCTGTGTTACTTTGGAAAACACGAAGGGTCACATTAGGTCATACATATTTATATATATGTATAGGTATCATTCATGTAAAACAAATTCCCAGAGTAGGGACTTGTTTCCCCTTAGGATTTTTAAGTCCTGTGGCAGACAGGAAAAGGTTAGGCAGCGCATGTTTAGAAGGCAGTGCGCAAACGTGTCCGCAGCTACTGCTGCACCCGCGGGCAGCCGAGCGAAGCGAGTCAGTGCTGGCATCAGATCTTTACCAATGCCTTTTTTTTTTTTTTCAGTGAATATCAATGCACAACTGGCATGCATAAATCACCTCTTGATTTGCTGAGGTCAGGAGCAGCCAAAGATTCTTTTGGTGGCAGAGTAGAAAGAAAAGAAAACATTTATAATTAAAACAGATGGCTGAAAAGGCAATAAAGATAAGTCCACAGTACAATGTAAACTGTTTACAAAGACCCGGTCAGCCGTGGACCATGTATTTAAGCAGTTATTTACGAGAATACCAGACGGCTCTAATGTACACACACGTCGCAGCATGGCATCTGCAAAAGTACACGGCATTTTAGAGAAATTCCTGAACTCAGACACAGATCACTAAAAGCGGAACCTCTCTCCAAACCTTATCCATTTTGAATAGGATTTTATAACGACATCGTTTATCATCCTTTAGAGAGATCATTAGTTACACACATTCCCTATCCTCCTCCCCCAGAATGTACCTTTACTCTTGCCTTTCTGGGGCTCTCCTTTACACAAAGAACTCTGGCATCAGATCAAAGGAAGTGGATGGGAAGCCCACCATCAGCCCGGGGTATGTGATGCCTAACCTGGTTAAGTTTGAGGTTCTTAAAAAGCGGGAGAAAATCTCTTCGCCTTCTTGTGAAGATTAATAATGCAGGTTAAGCACTCACTCTTAGGCCTCGCTGGTAACTTTGCTAGTAGTTCTCATGGTAGAAAAACGGTCACTTTTGACTTCCGAAACGAGGCCAATGCTTTCTACACATGCTCTAGTACTCTTTAAACCCTTGTCATAAACTATTTAGAACAAATAATACTTGACTGATGGTTCTTTTCTATTACAGGAACTTCAATTAAAAGCTGAGAAGAGACTGTGGCGGCTCTAAAACATTAAGAAGAAACCAGTGTTTAGGTAATGTACCTATAAAGTTGTTTTAGTAGTAAAAAAATGTATTTCCTTGGCAAAAAGAGAATGGACAACTTTTGCTCTTAAATAGGCACTTGGTGCACCTTAAAATTTAGACTGTTTATTTTAACTTTATATTAAATTTAGACTTTTTAGATGTGCTTAAAATATTTTCTAATGACAGAAACTACAACGAAGGAACCATTTTAATTCAACTTTAAATTTCATCAATATTTAACGTGTTGTACTATCATTAGGTTAAAACTAAAATCTACTAGACAAAATATGGATTTCTTTTTTACTTTCCTTCTAGTTTTGTTTTAATATTTCCTAGCGAAAAGGATCACTGAGACTTTGGATCATTGTGTTTGTGTACTCTTGACAGCCTATGTGAGCAGTTCATGAAGTGTGAGCCTCACATCAGCATCAAAAGAATTAATTCAGGGCCAGCTGGTGAAGTGGGGGTGAAGGTGATGGACTCCCATGTGGCTGAAGACGGTCTGAGTCCCAGACCAGGCAGTTTGAAAATCACACCAGATGTGTATGTGCACGTGCCCAAAATCCCCAGAGGAGGAGGTAGGAAAAGGGATTACGGGGTGGTCATCCTCCCGAGGGATGGTTCTCACTTTTCCTCTCTCTGTCTCCGGTGACCACACGCCCTATATTATAAACGTACACATTGATACAAAAGTCCTCAACCTCCTGAATACCACGGACTATTATTATAGCACTACGATAAGCAAAAGCACAGTACTTGAGTGACGCAGTCACTGTAAAACACAAACACAAAACACAAGCATGTATGACTATACCTTCTTCATTCACCGTGTCAACTACAGCATTGACAAGGTGTATGACAGTCACTATGGAAGCTTGCAAAGAGGTACAAAAGAGTCAATTAGGAAAATCTGCCATTAGGAAACAGTGCATGAAATAAAACTGCTTTACGGTATACAATTTCTACCTCGTAATTTAATAACGTGAAGCAAGTGCTTTAATACAGCTAAACAATGTAACCAGGCACCACCTTGACACCCATTCCCAGGAACATTTTTAATCAAGCGATATAGCTGTTATTGGTAACCAAAGGAATAAAGTAGCCAAGACTTTCGTAATTTAAGAAAAAATTTTCGAGCTCCAAATTTGGTCACCATTATAATGATGGATTGTGTCAAGACTAAGCAATTCTTATTTTAACATATCACAGGCAAAAGGCTTCATAGTCAAAAGGCGAGATGCTTGGTAGGTCACTCTATGGGCTTCATTTAAAATCTTGTACACGGATTCCTCCCTCCCCCCCCCAAATTAAAAAGAAACATATTCAGTATAAAACCAAAAATGGTTGTGTTCCTGTTCTGTGTGCTCCCACTGTAAAGGCCTTGTCTTTTTGCAGATGGAAGAGCAGCTAGTGAGCTAACATACCAGCAGAGAAGTAGACTGAGTGGCTGTTTTCTGTGTAAATGCCTTTTTCATTTGTGTACGGGACTGTGGCAAAACAGCTATACCAAGATAAGTATGGAAAGGATGGTCCTCAGAGACGTGCACGTCCTAATTCTAGGAACCTGGGAATATGTTCCCTACA